AGTGACCCAGCGATCTATTGCATATGTAGAAACTGTCATGACTTGCTGGATGTTGCTTCGCAGATCATGTTTTTATGATTCTGCAATACAATATTCATATCTCTTTTAAACTGTTATATGGTTGTGTTATAAGTGGCACACACAAAATCCACTTTTCTATACTCCAGCCCTCCTGTTTAGGAGGTTTGATAGTATTTTATGTGTATCCCCTTTGGTACTGACAGATCGGCTGGGTCCATTCATGGGTTGTGGTATGCTCTCTTTTTGAGGGGCCCTTCTGAAGAAGTGGATATCAACTCCTATGATAGATAAAATTGTTTGCCTATTTTGTGCATCCCATTGCGTGGTTGACATTGCAACCTGTGGTGGCCACAGCCCTGGTATCTCAGACACTGAACAAATCGTTCAAGCTTCAGCGGCAAGTTTTTAACACAGGAGGTACAGATCGGAGTCTGTGGATCCAAATGCTGGGCTGCTGACCTGATCTGAACAGGCCCTGGTGGACCTGTGATGCCAGGGGGAATACCTCATTGGTACTACCTGGGTCAACTTCGTCTACAACAGAGATGTCAAACTGTGGCCCTCCAGCTGTTGCAGAACTACAAATCTCATGAGGCTCTGCAAGGCTGACAGTTACGAGTATTATTCCAAAAGCCAGAGGCATGATGGAACTTGTAGTTCCTCAACAGCTGGAGGGCCGCAGTTTGACACCTGTGATCTAGAACCTTCTGGATGGCAAGAGTACCTTCCTTCCAGACCAAGAGGGGAGAAGGAATACCATCAGATGTCTGGATCTTCCTTCACTGCACACGGCAATTTTTTTGTTTCACCCCTCTGGCTTCTCTGTAAAGGGCTCCACGCCTTTCAAGTTACCCACGGATGGGGTCCAGTACTCCTGGCCTCACAAGTCCACCTATTGTGCTGATAGATCCACCTCAGCATAAATTATTACCCCACTGGTTCCCGGTTAGTGAGTCCTCTTTACTGGTTCTAGGCTGGTGGCCCTCCCTTCTTCCAGAAAAATGGGTCCGTGGCATGCTTGTGTCTGGCCACAATGTAGGTTTTCATTTTGATTTACCAAATAAATTTTTTCTCTCCCTCTAAATTTCATCTTCTGCCATCACCCCTTCGGGCCCTGTAGGGAGCAGAACCTTCTTCGCCAAGGAGTAATGTCCCTGTACCTGAACCGAGATGGTTCTGAGGTTTTATTCCAACCTGTTCCTGGTCCCAGACAGAGATGAGGTTCATCTGATCCTGGACCTGTAGGCCCTCACTGACTTGTGCTGGTTCAGATGACCTGCTGCTATGGACAGATTCCCAAGTTGTGCAGTCGGACAATGTGGAAATCATGATGCTCTCCGTGCAGGACTTGAACTGGGTCCTACAGACATCTTCATAGATGTCTGCCCTGAGGCCTAGTGTCTGGGCCCGTTTCTCAACTCGGAGCAGGCAACAGTGTTTATCCTGGGGGACAAACTCTGGCAGCTTTCGGACTGCAGCCCACTGCTCTATTTCCACAGTGATCTCTCCTGTGGTCTTGCATGCAGGCTCTGGGTCATCTGGCATCCAGTGGCGGTCCAGTATGTATAGGTATGTATGAGCATTCTGCAGAAGGACATTCTGTCTACGTGGGCCAAATCTACGGCTTCCCTAGACAACCAACTTTGTCTGGAATGGTCCTCCCTGCTATGATGGTTCCGGTCCCCTGCTCTGTAAGCTGGAAAGTTATTTTTTTCCAGTCATCGCAACAGTGGCCAGCCTGTCCGACTGGGGAGGAGTCCTGATTTCGGGATCAGTATAGCTTCCCGGGGAAGCTTGCATGCCCTTGGAGCTTGTCTTTTAGCTGCCAGCTATTAGTCTCTGGAATGCTGGACCATTCTTTGAGGGCTCCCGATTAATATTTGATTTACACCATGCCATCGCAGTGTCCTGGGTCTACCACCAGGGAAGCGTGAGAAGTGTGGCAGCGGCGTTATTTTTCAGTGGTTGAACAGCACATTCTTGCTCTCTCTGCCGTGCACATTCCTGGCATTGAGATTGGGCAGGTGGATTACCTCAGTCAGCAGATGATGGATCAGGGGAGTTGTCCCTGCACCCGGACATGTTTCATCTGATCTGCTGATGCTGGCTAATCCTGGACATGGATCTTCTGACGTCCCGCCTGAAGTGAAAAGGTGCTGCGGTTGTAGCGTGAGTGCAGGACTCCCTGGCGGTTGCAACAGATGTGCTGGTGGCATTGTAGGACTAGTATCTTCTACTTTACATCTTCTCTCCCCTCAGGCTGCTCCATCACCTGCTGTACAGGTTCGTGGAATGGGGCCAAAGAGATTCCAGTTATTCTGGTAGCTCCAGACTGGTCTGTGGTACACCGTCTTAGTGCATCAAAGATGTTCCCTGGTGGTTGCCTCTCTTCGGGAGATCCACCTGTCGCAGGGTCTGGTTTACCACCCTAAATTACCATCTCTGGCTTTGATGGTAAAGCTCTTGAAAGCCAAATATTAGGGACAAAGAGTTTTTTGGTTTGGTGTTCCCCACAATGTTGAAGGCTTTTCAGTCTGCTCTGTGGTAGATCTATCATTGTGTCTGAAAAGCTTAGTTTGCCTGGTGCCAGGCTCTGGGTGTCCGTCCTTGTTTGCCCTTTTAGGGGTTGTATGGCTGCCTGGCACATTTACCTGGTTGCTCCAGTTGTTTTTTTGGTTTGCCCACCCCTCGTTGAGACACTGCTTTGCCTTATGGTTAAGATTGAGAAGAGTCGTGTCTGTCATTGAACATAAGAGAAAATCTGATTATTTGTTAGTCACCACAAAATCCTTTTCTCTGAGTTCATTAATAGACACAGTACCCACCCCTCTATTGGAGTTTATATTTCTGACACTGCTTTCTTATGAACTGGATTGCCTATAGCAGAGAGGGGGTTTTATACGAGCTAAGACTCTCATAGGCTCCTAGATTGTAAGCTTGAAAGAGCAGGGCCCTCGATCCCCTCATGTTTTGCATTGTATTGGTATTGTTCTGTCACATGTTCTGTTCCCCTCTGTAATGTACAGCGCTGAGCGAACTATTGGCGCTTTATAAATACTGTATAATAATAATAGGCGGTGTGGTGCTTTTTCTGCCTAATGTCCTACTCCTGTAGATGGGGATATAACCTATGGTCAATATTCAGAACAGCTGTGTCCGTCAATGAACTCAGAGAAAGGGATTTTATGGTGAGTAGCAAAAATTCCATTATTATTGTATACAAAATGCTCTAAACTGGGGGCAAACTGTTAAGCTGAAAGGCAGGTACCCTACATGCTATAAATATTACTAGTGCAAAATGTGCCTAAATAATTTATTTCCATGCAAGTGCCCTTGTTTTGATGATAGTTTATTACACTGTGTTTTATGCTCTAAGGTAGGTACTCCAATTTGTGAGAGTACCATTGTATCTCGCATAGTAGGGCGAGGATTGCTTAAAGGATTTGTTTGATTTTATGGTGAATACTCCTGGAGAATTAGAGTTTTAAGTTAGCAGCTGCAAGATGGATATTATGTTCCTCTTTTGTGCGCTGTGTATTTTTTTTGTCTGCACTTAAGACCCATCTGCTCCTTTTTTCCTCCAATCTTCTTGAATGCCTTGTCCACAACAGTATAGGGTTGATTTACTAAAGTTGGAGAGTGTAAAATCTGTGCAGCTGTGCATGGTATCCAATGCGCTTCTAATTTCAGCTTGTTCCATTAAGCTTTGATAAAAAAAAAAACTGGAAGCTGACTGGTTTCTGTGCAGAGCTGCACCAGATTTTGCATGCTCCAGTTTTAGTAAATCAACTAAATCAAATGAGTTGCTACCTCACTGATAACCTTTTTGTCTAGTCTAGTTCCCACTTGCAACATTCCTGCCCTACTAAAACTCACTAAAACCAACGGCCATTACTCCATACTCATACTCTTAGACTTTTCCTCTGCTTTTCACACAGTGGACCACCCACTGCTCCTCAATAACCTCCACTCCCCTGGCCTCTGCGACTTTTCTCGTCCCTGGTTCGCCTCCGACCTATTTCGGCGCACCTTCAGTGTCACACGGAACTCTTTCTGTTGGGGTAGTCCAATGCTCTGTCCTTGGGCCCCTCCTATTCTCTCTCTACATCTCTTCCCTGGGCCAGTTGATAACCTCCCACAGCTTCCAATACCAAATCTATGCAATGACACTCAGATCTATCTCTACTCTCTGGCTCACCCCTTCAATCTCTTCACGTATCACAAATTTACTAAGCAACATCTCAATATGGATGTCACACCATTTCCACAAACTCATTGGCCCTGATTTACTAATGGGCACATTTCCATGGGCGAACGTCTAATTTTTATGAGTGACCGTCTACTTTTACCCCAGAATGAGATTTACTATTGAGCAGCGTCCATAAGTAGACGCCCAATCGAATTTACTAACGAGACACACGCCCGGAATCAGACTCACAAAGCAGACTTGCTAAGAGGCACGTCTAACACCATGAAAAATCACTGCAGAGACATGTTCACTTTGAAATTTGCTTTGCCAAATATCAGGACTTCACTTTAAACAATATCTGCCATTTCCAAAAAAATTAAGAATGTGTTAAAAATAGTTTTTTTTAAAGCAGATCAACACAGTAAAAAACTAGACGCCCGTGCAGTATCTTTAGCCGATATAAATGCGCATGTGCAGAACACATTTTAGACGTCCTCTCTGGGCGCTTGCTTTTTAGCCACTGCTCAATAGTAAATCTCAGTATGGATTCCTCTGACAGCCGACACTTGGTCGCATCTACTGTGTTTAACAAACAGCACTAAGCATATCTTTATGTATTCTAATTTAATTTCCTTAGTTCTAGTGATTCTATTTTTGTTTCTTATCCTTTATAATTATTTCTGTAATGATTTTACTTATTTTGAAGGTCTAGATAATATTTATTTTGACAGCTGAATGTAAAAATAAAGGTCCGCAATTAAAAAAAAAAAAAAAAAAACCAGAGTGGGTCCCCCTTCTCATCCTACCAAGCCCTTCAGGTCTGGTATGGATATTAACTAGTTGCCGACCGCAGATAGCCGAATGACGGCTAAACTGCGGGGCCGGCCAGTTCTGAGTGGACGTCATATGACGTCCCCCCAGAACGCGCTCTCCTGCGGACACAGCTGATCACGTGATGTGGTAAAAGGCCGATCACAGCGGCTTTTTACCACGTGATCAGCGGTGTCCAATGACACGCTGATCAGAGGGAAATGCAAGTGCCGGTTCTCGGCTGCACTTTCCTCACGCTGTCAGATCGTGAGGAAAGTACTGCCGAGAACCGGCAGTTGTCAGAGCGGGGATCGGCACCGATCATCAGGGCACTGATGATCAGTGCCCTGATGATCGGTGCCCAGCAGTGCCACCCGCAAGTTCCGCCCACCTGTGCCCTGCAGTGCGCCCACTAGCTCCGCCCACCTGTGCCCAGCAGATCACCCACCTGTGCCCAGCAGTGCACCCACCTGTGCCACTCTGCAGTGTCACACACCTGTGCCCAGAAGTGCCACCTACCTGTGCCCAGCAGTGCCACCCACCTGTGCCCACCCACCTGTGCCCACCAGTGCCACCCACCTGTGCCCACCCACCAGTGCTGCCCACCAGTGCCACCCACCAGTGCAGCCCAGCAGTGCTGCCAGTCAGTGCCGCCAGTCAGTGCCCAGGGGTTGTGCCAGTCAGTGCCGCCACTGGCCCAGCAGTGATGCCAGTCAGTGCCATCTATCAGTACCCATCATCAGTGTCACCTATCAGTGCCGCTTATCAGTGCTGCATATTAGTGCCGCCTATCCGTGCCACCTCATTAGTACTGCCGATCAGTGCCCTTTAGTGCTGCCGATCAGTGCCCATCAGTGCCACCTATCAGTGCCCATAAGTGCTGCCTCATCAACGTACATCAGTGAAGGAGAAAAAATACCTGTTTGAAAAATTTTATAATAGAAACAAAGAAACTTTTTTTTTTTTTTTCAAATTTTTTGCACTTTTTTTATTTATAGCGCAAAAAGTAAAGCACCCAGCGGTGATTAAATACCACCAAAAGAAAGCTCTATTTGTGAGAAAAAAATGATCAAAATTTCATATGGGTACAATGTTGCATGACCGCGCAATTGTCAATCAAACTGCGGCAGCGCTGAAAGCTGAAAATTGGCCTGGTAAATAAGGGGGTATAAGTGCCTGGTAGGCAAGTGGTTAAGGGGGAACTCCACGCCGAAATTTAAAAAACAAAACAGCGTGGGGACCCCCTCAATATCCATACCAGACCCTTATCCGAGCATGCAGCCCGGCAGGTCAGGAAAGGGGGGAACGAGCGAGCGCCCCCCCCCCTCCTGAACCATACCAGGCCACATGCCCTCAACATGGGGGGAGAGTGCTTTGGGGCAGGGGGGGCTCCCCTCCAAAGCACCTTGTCCCCATGTCGATGAGGACAAGGGCCTCTTCCCCACAACCCTGGCCGGTGGTTGTAGGGGTCTGCGGGCAGGGGGGTTATCAGAATCTGGAAGCCCCCTTTAACAAGGGGGCCCCCAGACCCGCCCCCCCTACGTGAATGAGTCTGCGGTACATGGTCCCGCGACTCATTCACAAAAAAAAACAAAGTGTGGTGTAAAAAAAAACACAGTACAGGGTCTTTGACAAGTCCTTTATTAAAACAATGTCCCCCGAAGTAGATCCAAGGTCAAACACGGCGGCAGCGACCCGAAAAAAAAAAAAAAAAAAAGTTCTGCTCCCGTCGGAGGCTTCCAGCCTTGTGAAAAAAAGGCTAGCTGACAGTTCTTAAATAGGTTAGGGGCGGGGCCAGCCGGGGACATCATCCCCGCCCCTTACCTATTTAAGAACTGTCACCCTGTCTCTCCACTGAGGCTAACTAGCTGAATGCAGGAGACAGTCTGACAGTTCTTATATAGGTATGGGGCGGGGCCGGCCGCGGACATCATCCGAGTGACCCGCCCCATGTCACATGCTTGCTGTTCCTGGCTGGCCCCGCCCCATACCTATATAAGAACTGTCAGACTGTCTCCTGCATTCAGCTAGTTAGCCTCAGTGGAGAGACAGGGTGACAGTTCTTAAATAGGTAAGGGGTGGGGATGATGTTTTGTTAAAGGGGGCTTCCAGATTCTTGGTATGGATGGGAGGGGGGACCCACGCTGTTTTTTTTATTATTTATTTAATTCACAGAAATAATTTAAAATTCAGCTGTCAGTGGAAACCCCCGATGACAGCTGAAACATTCCTTCTGTCCCTGCAGAGTGCTCCGCTATTATATTTGACATTAAAAAGTATAGACACTGCAACATTGTATCTATTGGTATCTATAAGTATCCGAATAAAAACATCTATATCCGAAATGGGTACAATGTTGCAACCTTTATACTTTTTAATGTCAAAAAATAGCGCAGCTCTCTGCAGGGACAGAAGTTATTACTTCGCTATTATATTTGCCGGCCATAGACGGGGCGAAAATCGGACAATTTTTTTTACCATTGGTGGCCCATTGAACAACCGATTTTTCGGGTTTTTTTTTTTAAAAACGGTCAGTTTTCGTCCCATCTATGGCCTGCATTTTTCTTTTTCTTCTTTTTTCTTCTTTTTTTTCTTCTTCTTTTTCATTTTCTTCTTCTTTTTCTTTTTCTTGCAGGTCATGGCTCATGTGCAGATTTTTTATCTGTTAAAAGATCAGCCAATTTGCTGATCATTGCAGCTAAAATCGGCCGATCTGCAAAATCGGCCGATATTTATTAATTAAAAAAAGTGGCAAAATCCCCAAAAATGGCGCTCGCTCGCTCGTCGTCCCCCCCCCCCCCCCTTTCCTGACCTGCCGGGCTGCATGCTCGGATAAGGGTCTGGTATGGATTTTGGGGGGATCCCCAAGCTGTTTTTTATTTAATTTTGGCGTGGAGTTACCCCTTAATATCCATACCAGACCCAAAGGGCTTGGTGTGGATGGGAGGGGGGACCCCATGCCGTTTTTTATTTATTATGGTGCTGGTTTTTAAATGTAATTCTCCCTTCTTTTTTTTTTTCTTCACTATAGCTCAGAAATTCACCTGTCACTTCCCCCAGCTAAAAGAGAAAGTTTTCTTGGAATTTATATCCCTAAAGGAAACAATGTTTACTTAATAATAAGAGTTTATTAAAAGATACAAAGTTTTCTGTAACTTCGGGGAAAGTGACTTCTAAGCTTGTGAACTATAGTGAAGAAAAAAAAAAGGCTGGCATTTGCATTTGAAAATCGGCACCGACATACACTTTGTATTGCGAAAAAAAAATTATTAACAATTGTGTAAACCGAAGCATTATTTTCAATGGATTTTCATTCATAAACCAAAAATTACGTTAACCGAGGCGTTGATAAACTGAGGTACGCCTGTATTAGTATTGCAATCCTTTGTATTGGGATACATAGAACCCAACATACATCTGAATTGGCAACATAGCACAACATTTGTGTCGCATTTGAGATATCTGGCTAGTTACACTGACCTTGCCCAGGGACCTAGGATTGATTCACACCACAAAATTACAGGCAGGTTTAGTGTTCAACAGCTCTGTGGATTAGTGGTTAGCACTACTGTCTCACAACGCTAGGGTTGTTGGTTTGAATCCCAACCACAGCAATGAATTTTCATGATCTCTGTGTGACTACCCTAACATACATGTGCTGGTGGCAGCATCTTTGCTTTCTGTTTAAATGATCCCTAGAATGTGAATTAGAATGAGGCCTTGTCTGTTCAAACACCTTTAAAGTAGCACCTTATGTGAATGTCAAACCATGGGATGAGATAAGGGCCTGGACTAATGATTGATTGGATAATGCTGGTTTGCACTCCACATCCTTTGGGAAAGTTTTTCAAACCATGAGAAGAGTGAGCGAAAGAGATGGATTAAAAAAAAATAATAAAATAATGGCATGGAGTCCCCCCCCCCCAAATCCATAACAGACCCTTATCTGAGCATGCAGATACCGCATGCCTTCAAAGATTTATTTCCTTTGTTGCAATCTGCTTGGTTCACACTAGATGTGATTTAAAAATTGTGCTTTTTGTTGGCAATTGCACCGTGTTTTCTGTAGATTTACCAATGAGCTATTGCGTTTTTCAATTGTGTTTTGCATTGCGATTTCTATTGTAGTCTATATGTGAAATCACTACAAAATGCTGAAAAAGTTAGACGAGAACTACTTTTGAAATTGTGCTGCAGCAAATCGCTTACGTTAAGACACTCACATCCACATTCAATAGATCGGATATCAGGTACAATTTCAATTCCCAAATCGCACCTGAAATTGTGCACCCTGGATGCGACTTGGCATGCAATTTGCATGGCATGCGACTTGCAAATTGTATGCCAAGTCGCACCCTATTGTCTGCTATTAGAGAGCAGTCACGTGGGTGCGTTTCCGACACTGATTTCTAAAGTAGTACATGTACTACTACTTTTGTGACGATTTGCATAGATATCTGTGTCAGATGTCTTGCAAATCGTAAGGAAATCAGCATCTTCACTGTACGTTGCACAATTTCTAAATCAGCTTTGATGTGACCACGGTGTAAGGCCTTTTTATGTTTGATTTCCTGAGTGTTTTTCCGATTTATGGGAAATACCGCATACTAGCAAAAGTGAATTGACATTTTCAGTATTGCATGCGAGATGTGGGTCATGTGACTGCCTTAACTCATGCGATAATCTGGAGTGAATTGTGCCCATAGGGCCAAGAAATATTGCCAATAGGGTTCCCTTTCACATTCCTGTTCAATGTTCTGTTGTATGCTGCACAGGTACAGTTCACTGTGACTTTCTTTCTGACTCTGATTTGTGGGGCCTGTATACCAACGGTTAACGCAGGTGGGAAGAGGATTCATCAGGTGCAAACACTTTCCCTGACCAATGACAGTGGTGGGTGTGGCCTACCTTATATATAGAGATGCAGTTGTGGCTGATTTTTGCCTGGTATAGGCACATTATTTCTGCAAGTCCTTGTCTGTGGTGGTTTGGGGAGGAAGAGATATTGTGGTGAATTGCCCCAGGCCACACTCACGCTGTCTTTTGATGTGGGCTGTAAATGTTTTGCATGTTCTTCCTTCTAAGGTGTGTTTGTGTGTAATTGTACAATGATTGTGTTTATTACCTTTGCATTGTAATCCTAACACATGTCCATTGCTCTGCTCTTCCAAGTTTGCTTTATTTAGAATGAAATGCAGTTTTCAGACAAACATGGTGAGAAATGTATGTGTGGGGGATTTGGGGAGGGGGGAGGTGTTTATATTTTGGCATGTATGTATTTTTATATTGATATTTCGATCTGCAGTTTTGTGATTAAGCCCAAGTGATTCATATTAACCATTTGTTTGCTGCTGTAACCTGTGAAAGCACAGTTCATTATAAGTATAATCTTTTAGATTGTAAGCTCTTATGAGCAGGACCGTTCTATTTTAGCAACATCAATCCTGCTTTTTTTTTTTTTTTCTTCACACCAAGATATTGAATGTAGCTTTTTGTTGCTGTCCAAATAAATGTGGAATGTGTATTTGATCAATAAACATTTGTACTATGTATTTTTTTGGGGGATTATTTCATGTTCTAGTTGAATGTTGCACAGTGGCTAAATGATTAGCACTTCCACCTGGCAGTACTAGGGTCGTTGGTTTGAATCCCAGCCATGGCACCTCCTGCCTGGAGGTTTCATGTTCTCCCTGTGCCTGTTTCCTCCGGGTACTCCGGTTTCCTCCCACACTCTAAAGACATGCTGGTAGGTTAATTGGATCCTGTCAAAATTGGCCCTAGTATATGTATGCATGTAAGTTAGGGCTCTTAGTACGCCCCTTGAGGGTTAGGGACCGATGTGAATTTATCACATCTATATGTAAAGCGCTGCGTAAATTAACAGTGCTATATAAGTATCTGAAATGTACTAGCAGCCCTAACACTTATTTTTGCTAGCTATATAATATGCCCAAATCTTCCTTGTTAGAGCGCACATGTGCAAGTATGTCCAAAATAACAAACCAAAAGCCCCCTATTGCATGACAAGACCATGTTATGTACCAGTGAATAGGTCATGTTCAATGTGCAGCTAGCTATTCTTTTTCTACAATCCTCTTAACAGTAATAAATTGGGCCCACAATTTATGTTGACTTTGGGCCTTTACTGGCAAATATATATTTGCCAATGTCATATACACAGTATAGCTGCAAGCATACATTCACCAATGCCAAATCTACAATAGAACTGCAAACATACATTTGCGAATGTCATATACACAATGGAGCCGCATGTAAATTGCTATGGTGCACAAATAAACGCCAAGACAGCTGTTGGAGGAGGCGCTAGAGCAGCTGTCATACCGGAAATACGTCATGACGTTTGCAGAAGGACGTTTGCACACATCCAGAAGTGTGAGTGGATGGGAGTGTAGTTAGGAGAGTTTAGTTGTCATTTGCAAGTCTATTTTTTTAGTTTTGTGAATTGTTCTTTTGTGGAATTGCAGACCACATCTGGACATGGCGAGATCG